GAACCGGTGACCCGTCCACCCGATCCCTTTTCCGGTTCACTCATCGGTCAGGTTTTTAAAACATTGGCTGCCGTCATTGGCCTCATTATCAAATGGATGTGAAGAATGCTTTTCTTAATGGTCATCTCGCTAAGGAGGTTTACATGCGTCCTCCTGCTAGCCTTCACCATTCCTCTGGACAAGTTTGTCGTCTTCGACATACTCTATATGGTCTGAAGCAATCTCTTTGTGCTTGGTATGATCACTTTCAGACTGCTGTTACTGAGCTTGGGTTTCATCCTTCTACCCAGGACTCTGCTTTGTTTCTCCTCCACACCTCTGCTGGTTTTGTTGCCTTATTACTGTATGTAGATGATATGATTATTACTGACTCTGATTCTTTTGCCATTTCTGAGGGTCAAGTAGCATCTCTTTCGCACCTTCGAAATAAAGGACTTGGGCCTATTGAGGTACTTTCTTGGTATTTAGGTGGTTTCTTCTCCCAAAGGCTACTTTCTGTCACAGGCCAAATATGCTAATGAGGTTATTCACCGTGCTGGTCTTACTGACACTAAGATTGATGATACCTCCCATTAAGCTTAATGTGAAGCTTACCACTAATAATGGTGCCCCTCTAAATGATCCTACTTTATATCAAGAGCTCGTGGGTTGCTTAGTCTGTCTGACAGTTATTTGCTTTGATCTTGCCTATGTTGTTCATATGATTAGTCTATTCATTTCTACTCCTCATTCTACACATTGGGCTACTTTGGTTCGAATTCTTTGCTATCTTCGGAGTATTATATTTTAGGATTTACTTTGTCTTCTACTTCCTTTTTGGACTTGGTAGCTTATGGTGATTCTGATTGTGCTGGTAATGTCACTAATTGCAAGTCCACTTCTGGCTTTTACATAGTTCTTGGTGATTTCTTGATTTCTTGGAAGAGCAAGAAACAGACAGTTGTTGCACGTTCCACTGCTGAGGCTAAGTACCGTGCTATGGCTCATGCCACTACTAAAATTGTTTGGCTTCCTTGTCTCTTGTTTGATTTGGGTGTCCTTCAGTCTTATCCAATCTCTCTTTATTGTGACAACCGTAATGCTATTCAGATTGCCCATAACACTGACTTCCATGAGCGAACAAAGCACATTGAGATTGATTGCCATTTTTGTATGTCAACATTTGCAATCTGGCTCCATCTTGCTTCCTTTTGTCTCTTCGGCATTGTAACTTGTTGATTTCTTTACCAAGACTCACGCCACTACTCGATTTCAGTTTCTTCTTGGCAAACTCTCAGTGTTGTCTGCTAAAACACCTTGAGTTTGAACGGGAGTGAGAGAATATTATGTTAATTATGGAAATATATATACTAGGTTGATTGTATATTTTAGATTGATTGTGTGAATACTAGATTGATTGTATAGGGTTATTCTTATTTCTTATTTTAGATTAGGTTTAGGATTGCTATATATATCGGTTGCACTCTTTGTATTATATACAATTGAATATATAGAAATCATTCAGAAGTCTTGCAGTGCCTACCTCTATCATGTTTGATAGAGATACTAAATTCCTTACTCACTTTTGGAGAACTTTGTGGAAGAAAATTGGCACCGACTTGAACTTTACCACTACATTTCATCCTCAAACCAATGGCTAAACGAAGGTAGTGAATCGAAGTCTTGGCAACTTGTTGAGGTGCGTCTTGCGGGAGATCATCCCAAGAGTTGGGATGGTTTTATTCCTTTGGCCGAGTTCGCTTACAATTCATCGATCAACTGCACCATAAATACTTCTCCCTTTGAAGTAGTTTATGGAAGGAAACCTTCAAGTGTTATGGACTTGGTTCCTTTTCCTATCTCAAGGAAGGGAAGCGCCCATATTAAAAAGTCCAATGCCAAATACAAATCGGTCGTTGATGTGCATAAATGGAAAGTGTTGTTTGAGGTAGGAGATCTTGTGTGGATTGTGTTAAGCAAAGAAAGGTATCCTCATGATGCTTACACCAAGTTAAGTGATAGGAAGGTGGGTCCTTGTGAAGTGTTGCACCAAGTCAACGACAATGCTTCTCAAGTCAAATTGCCGCCTTATTTGGGAATCTTTAACACCTTTAATGTGCAACACCTTGTGCACTCCTATCATTGTAGATTAGTTTCTTTTGTGGAATTTATTTGTATTGTACTTTCTAGTTTTTTGTTTTACTTCTAGTGTATTAGTTGTGTTTTGTTTGTCTTCACTTAAGGACAGTGGAAGAGTATGATGTAGGATATCATGTGCATAGCATGTGATAGTTAGTGGAGGAAAATTGTAGCCTGTATCTAGAAGAGGCATAACTACTTTGTAACCAATTTTGAGATGATAAACATTGATTGATTGAGATCTTCTCTCTAAATTCTCTCTGTGGTTCTTGATTGGACCCTTCATCACCCACAGTCTAAGAAGCATGGAAATCGACATGGATGCGGACATAAACACGGACACAGGACACGGTAATTTCAACAAAATTGGGGCACGGGCATGGACACGACAATAAAATATTTTTTTTGTATTTTTTTATTTGCTTTGCAAATTAATATTACATCCACAAATAATCAAAGTTAACAAAAACTAACAATAATTCGATATTTAAAAAAATATGTAAAATTATTTTTAAATTAACACTTATCATTTGTCTTTTTTTATGGGTAATCGATTAAGTATTTAAATCTAGGCAAAATGGAATAAACATTTAACATTTAACATTCAACATTCAACATTCATTAAAAGCACTAAACAAAAGGTGGGGGAAAAAAAGTATTTGTCTTCTTTCTAGAGTATCCCCGACGTGTCCCTTGGAAAAAAACATTAATTAAACAAAGGGATGTGCCACGTGGCATGTCCTATACATGTCCCCACCGTGTCTCCATATCTGACACGGCTACGACACTAATTTTGAAGTGTCAGTGATTCATGGCCTGTAGTTTTGACATAATTACGCTATCTCCCTTTTAGTAAGGTTAAATAGACCAAAACTAATGGAAGTGGAGCGAAAACACAAAAATAAACAACGTAAAGTATACATTTTCATATAAAAGAGATGACGACATCATTTTTCATCAAATAACTAACAAATTATTAAGTGTTTTATATAAATTAAAATCTCAAGGGAGCTCAATGTAATTATGTCAAAACTGTGGGGCTTATTGTATTTTATCCAAACCTCAAGGGAGGCCAGTGTAATTTACCCTTTATTTTATTGTTTGGTTTGCAGTTTTTCAAGTATGCATAGTAGACAATACGTATATAAAAGGAAAGTGGGGAACCCCCTAAAGAGGAACTTTTGGTTTTTCAAGCAGTTAGAGAATATCTTTTGTTGGAGAGATGAACTTCTAAAAAATTAAGTAAAAGTTAAACTTCTATTTAATCATATGAACTATTTTTTTAATTTTGTTTTAGGAATGAGAATAACTGCTGACCCTAACCACTGTCTTCGAATGATCAAATCCCACATAGCTTGCTGCAATAATTCATGAACGAAACCTCTCCCCATTGGATTGGAAGTATAAGAACTACTTAGAAGGTTCCAATATTTTCAGGATTAGAAACAGTTTGTTCAGCTGGATATTTCCTGTCATTTTTAATGCAGCGATTCTGAGTGCTGATATGTGACAGGCATATTACCAAAAGATGATTTGTAGAAGTTTTTTACAGTACTTACAAATAGCCATTATATGTGATCAATGTGTTTGTTCTTAAAAGAAGAATGCCACCCCCTCAGGTGTCACTGGTGCCGCGAATTTGTGGCGTCTCTGGTGATGATATGGTTGTCTCATAGTCAAGGAACTATGGAAAAGTAGTTATCATGAATTATGAACTGGTATGGCTCCATTTGCTGTAGATTGCATTTGAATGTGAAATCCATCATCCAATACACACATTTATAAAAGGAGTGTCATTATTGCAACTGGTGATATGGACCAGTTTCTTTTTGTGCAATTCTTCCTAATTTTACAATCATTCATGAGATGATGATTTCTACATTTGAATTTTATGTAAAGCACTATAGATCCAGTTAATTTCCGTTGGGTGTGCAATGTACCCAAGTAGTTTACGTGTGCACACACATATTGTCTAGAGGTGTTGTAAATATAATTTCAGGGATTAGTGAAAGGATAATTCTGTTACAAGAAGATTAAGGATTTGGTTTGACATGTAGAAAATTTGGAAGGTTTTCTTAGTAACTCCTGATAATAAAATTAAAAAAAAAAAAATTCAAACATTATTTATTTATACTTTATTTATTAATTTGTTTTGCAAATGGGTTGCAAAAAGCAATATCTAAGTGAACGCCAAAGTAAATCATTTTCATAATGGAGATTGTCTTGCATAAAGGTTCAATCTTAAAAAACAAAGTTTGGCAATGACCTGGTTGTTTCTTAGCGAGGTTTACATCGTTTGAATTTGCATGAGCATGCATGTTACACTAAATCAGAATCTTACAAGTCATCAATCTATTTATACCTAGATAAAAAAATAAAAACGGTATAGTTACTATGGTAGAGTACTGTAACTTTCTTGTGTTGCCCTGTGTAGAGGCATCATCAAAAGTAAGAATGAAAAATAGTGATACAAAATCTTAAAACAGTTAAGAGCTACTATTATATATATATATATATTAAAAAGAAACCAAATATCACTTAGAAAATTAAGGCAGCAAGATATACAATATGAACATATCATTTAATTCACTTATTTATTCCCTCTTTTCCTTTCAGTTTCCGCCTTTCCAGTCATAAAGACACCTGATATTGCTCATTTTACTTAGCATTTTGTATTTTTTATTAAGATACTTGTTTTTCTGATGATTCTTATGTGATGTTCTTCAAACTCTAGTGTTTTTATATTTGACAAGCATTACAAACCTTGGAAGTGCAGGTCCTGCAGGAGTTACAAGACTTATTTTGCAAGCATGAATATGTGATTCCCTGCCATATGTATTAACTATTTTCTTAGTTTACTCTGTTGTTTTTTGTCTTTCTAGGTGCATTAACAGGGGCTATAACTACACCCCTTGATGTGATTAAGACTAGGTTAATGGTTCAGGTATGACCAATCAAATTCATATGCATTTTGCTAGTTCTGTGCCATCTGTGTATGTGCATGCAGTGCATGCACGCTTTAATGTGTGTGGTAGTACGTTAACAAGGCTTAGCAAGATCTTTTGTGGATAATCTTTTAATCTGTAGGGATCTGCAAACCAGTACAAAGGGATCTTTGATTGTGTTGAAACTATCGTCAGGGAAGAAGGTCCTCCTGCTCTGTTGAAGGTATGAATTCCTCGTATATCCCTTTGTATCTTGCAAATAGATTATCAAGGTAGTCTTCTCTCCTCTCCCATCAGCTTTTTCTTTGTCAAATTTCATTAAATTTCTTATCTTGCTGGAAACAAAACTACCAATTAGAGGTGGGAATCCAGAGAACGAGAATGTGAGGTCCAATAAAAACGAAAATTGAAAGTAGGAAATCATTAAACAGGGAGAAAAAGCTGGACATGCTAACACAAAGTCCAAGTGACATGGCCTTCGCCTAAAATTTTGGGCAGCAGTGTCTAAACATATTCATTTACATATTTACACGTATACCTATGTGTGCTTAGCATGTTCTTGTATTTACTTTCAATTGCGGGGAGGACTCTAAATTGACTAAACTTTTACTACTTAAATAGATAACACAGCTGTATCTAGAATTCTTGTTGTCGTCAGTGGGAAAATTGCACAGCATGAGTTTTATTTATTTATTTTTATTTTAAATAATGGCATTTTGAAGCAAGATATGGAACTTTTTAATTCATTGCAGGGCATTGGGCCAAGAGTATTGTGGATAGGCATTGGCGGTTCAATATTCTTTGGTGTTCTTGAAAGTACAAAGCGATTTCTTGCCCAAAGGCGTCCAGTTCATCATGCGGACTCCTCAAAGAAGGATTAAAATTTGGCTGAATTCCAGGAGCATATGTACTTCAGATATTAAATTATTCAGGAACATTCTTTTCTATTTTTGTTATATTTCTTTATCCTGGGGCCATTTTTGTAGGATCAGAATGTTCAGCGAACAAAAAACCCAAGGTTCACACTGAATGTTGAAGATTTAAAAGTGTTCTGAAACTCATAGGAAGTCAATCCGATGAAATTTGTAGGAAAATGGGCTTTAGTTATCTACTCTTAGGCCATGTTTTATTTGCATGTGGGACTACTAATTCTGAGTTCTTATCCCGTATTTATATTATCTCGCTCATCCCGATTAACTTAGGTAGACCCCAAAAAATTTCCACAATTCTGTATAGTGTGGCAGGATAAGTGTCAACTTTTGATTTGTTAAACACTCAATCATTATGGGCCCAATTCCCTTGCCACATCATTATGGATAAATTTGTAGGTTAAATGTATGGGTATGTAGCATTACGCTATTCTATGTCCAACCTTATTCGCCTATTTGATTTGATTGATTTCACTAAGAGTGTTGTTAAAATAGCCTCACCTTTTTGGTAATTCTATTTACATAACCATTTCAACTCTTTACACCTCTCATTTTCATTTTATTTTTATTACAATTTTCTCCTTTGATAAAATTACCTTTTAGACCTTCAAACCCTAAAATTTGAAACCCTAATTTCTTTAAACACCTAACCTTCTTTACCATACCACCATTGCTATTGGCATCGCCCCACCCAACTCATTGCCATCACAGACACCGGCTACCTAACTCGCTGCCTATACCACCCACCTAACTCACTGCCAATTCCCCTCTCTTTGTTACACTATCACTTCTTCTCGATACAGCAGTTTGTTACTATCTGCAAAACCTCCTTCCTTCATTTTTGCGAACCACTCCAGCCCTTCTTTTCGTAGTGGTGCTATTCTTAATGGAGCAATAGAAAGGCAGAGTTGCATTGCGATGATGGTGATAAGAGACGAGACCAGATCACAAAGGTGGGGTGAGTTGTCGAAGTGGTAGTCGCGGCTATAGAAGAGGTGGTCATGGCAGCGAAAGTGGTGGCACGACGATATGGGGGTTGTTCAGGTGATGATTGCAGCGGTTGGTAAATTGCGGGAGTGGTGGTTGTGACAGTGAGATCTTGCAGGGTTATAACGGTAAAGGCCTATTGGATGGTGGTCATGGACTATGGAAGAGATGGTCGTGGCCTGCTGGATGGTGGTAGTTGTGGCTACAGAAGAGGTGGTCATGGCGACGAAGGTGGTGGCACGATGATATAGGGGTTGTTTAGGTGATGATTGCGGCGATTGGCGAATTGCGGGAGTGGTGGCTACAGCAGTGAGATCTTGCAGGGTTGCAACAGTAAAGACCTGGTGGATGGTGGTCATGGGTGGCAACAGCGGTTGCAAGCGACGACAATAGCTATATCAATTGAAGGTAGAGAAACTAGGGTTTGAAAAGTTTAGGTGTAAGGAAAAGAGAGATGTTAGAGATTGAGGGTATAAATGGAATAATTGGGTGTGTAAAGAGATCAAATAAAAAAATTGAATTTTGAAGAGAGGTGTAATTAGAAAATTGGTGTAATGAGGTAGGATTATGGTGTAAGTAGAATTACTCACATTTTTTCTTGGACACTCACCTTAATTCCTACTTTACCCTCATCCTAATCTTTTAAAACCCCAACACTTGCCACCTCTAGTCATCGCCACCACCTTCAACACCCTTCCCCACCCTCCTCCGTTACATTTGGCAGCCCATTCCCATCCTCCCCTACATCTGGCAGCCCATTCCCATCCTTCCCCACCACTCCCAGCCTCTACCCCTTTCCTTACAACTCTGAGAGAAAGTCATGGTGGTGGTGGCAGCTGAAAGTGAAGCCACTTGTGGTTGAAGAGTATAAGCTTTGGAATGTGTAGGATTAAAATTCTACATTAAGGTAGAGTAGTAATTTAAAAAAAATAAAATAAAATAAATGGGAAGGTATAAAAATAATTTTAGAGTTCAACCCATGTAACAAATTAAACCCTAGATTTTAAATTTTTTCAAATTAATCCTTCGTCTTGATAACAATCCCAAGTCTTCATTCATTTCAGTTAGCTTGTGTAGTGGAGAAAAAATGTCACAGGACATGCAGTACTATTTTATTCATTCTTATAAATTTACGCTAATTCCAACTTTCATCTTAATCACACCAAATCACAACCACCATTTTTCAACCAACTCCATCTTCACAACCACTCATCTTCATCCTACCATGCACTTGAACTCGGTGGATCATCAACTCCCTCTCCTTCCTCTTCACCTATCTCGCAACTCCTTCCTTGTTGGTCGTCCCCCATTGCCATCTCCCCTTCTAGCTACCCCATCGCAAAATGACACCGCAAACCTTCACTTTTCCCTATCACCACCCACTACACTTCCATTTTCCACCTTCCACGTAACCGCACTCTTTACCATGGTGACCATCGACAATTTTACCAACAAGAACACCATTTTTAGAAAAGTTGATAAATAGGTCTAAGAACAAAGATATGTTTATCTTGCACATTGTTGGGTTTTTATTTTCTCAAACCAATGTGAAATTTGTATTTTTTGGGGGGGATTGATTTTGATTGGTGATGTTTAATTCATATATGGAATTTCTTAATCAGAACTTAGGCTTTTTTTTTTTTTTTGGTCTTTAGATTTGGAATTCGTTCTGATATTGTTTTTGTTAATTGCGTACTAGAGAGAGCTCTTCTTCTCTAAATGCAGGATAGGGAGGCAATGCCTTCATCGGCATGAAAAAGCTTGCTGCCCATTGTCACTGAAAACAATGGCAGCACTGTTTTGATGGGCAAAGTCTTAGAAATTAAACTTTCCAACTTCTATTTCTTTGGTTTAGAAAGAGGGGAAAAAAGGATCCAAATAGTTTAGTGATTTATTGATACATAGTTGACTAAAGGAACTTATGGTTAATTGAATTTACAACAATGGCTATATAATACGATTTTTGGTGCTCTCCTCACAATTTTCCGTCACCGTGGATCCATTACCCTAAGCGAGATCTAGCAGGGGCATTATAGCTTCTCTCTGATGATTTTTGGCGCCCCTTTGGTGACTTTTCAGCAAACTTCTGAAAAGATGCAAAAACACTTACAAATAGTAAATTTGGATTTTTTATGCCTAGAAAAAGAGATTTGAGAGCTTCTCCCCTAATTTCTCATATAGATTTTTGAATTTTTAACATTCACGATAGTTTTCTCTTCTATCAATCCTCCTATCTTATTATTGTGAGCGTTCTTCGGTGACCGATGCACAAGTAGGCAACAGCGGAGTTGGGTAGTAGCAGCAAGGATGACAGCAATGGCAACAACGGGATTCAGTTTTATTTAGATGTAGATTTTATTTTTCTAAACAACATCTATGAGAAGATTTGTGATTTTTCTGGAAGCAGTTGGTTTTTTGATGAATTTTGTAGTTTGTTGTTTATAATTTGAGTAGGGTTTATTGTTTGGCCCATTGAGGCTTTGTTATTATTTTTATTTTTATTGTTATGTATAAAGTTAACTTTTTTAATATAATTGTTTTATAATTTTATTTTTATTTTTTAAAAATTACCCTGAGCATAGATTTTTTAGAGTGATTTTCCCATAATGATCCTAATGCTTATGTACAACAAATCACTTTAAGAGTATTTACCATCTGTTAGGTTTTTATTTATTATTATTATTATTATTATTATTATTATTATTATATATAACTTATATTATTTCTTATACTATTTGTGTATACACTCCAATTGCGACCTTTGTAGTATTTGGTTATAACCTATTGTATTATTAGTTATAACTTGACTTTGACTAATTATGATGCTAGTTATGACTCATTATGATATTGATTATGACCATTATTTTGATTATGATCTAAAAGATTTTAGTTATATCTATGTGGTGTTTGGTTATAATAATAATAATTATTATTATTATTATTATTATTTAGTTATGACTATAAAGGATTTACTTATGACTATATGCACCAATTGATATATCAATTAGGGCATGTTTGATTGGAATGATTAAAGCATGGGATTAGGATTATTAATTCGTGGGCCCAATTATCCTATGTTTGTTTTGACATTTTAATTTAGGACTATTAATCCAATGGATAATTAATCCAACAAATTTGTAGGATTATTAGTAATGGGGTAGGGGTGGGATAGTTAATACCACACTAATTTAATAGGATTATTAATACTTCACTATTAGTATTGTGAATCAAACATGACCTTAGTGTATTAGCGGATGATATGGCATAATATTAGAGGTTTTGGATCTTTGTAATTTATATAATGGGTAGAGTCCATAGTTTTGAAATGACAATGCCATAACATATATTGATACACTAATTAATATACTAATTGATGTATGTAGCACCACTATTATTTCTCGTTTGAATAGAAAATTGAAAATATACTCACCAGCAAACATATACAGTAGCAATGACTAAATTAAACAAAATGTTAACTCTTTATATAATTTTGGAATTATCAAAATAGTTCTTAAGTTTTCAATCGGCAATTTTTATTTTTAGTGAATTTTTTTACTATAAAATTTGTGAGAATGTGTTAATTCTCATTTTTTTTTGTTATATTTATTGATTTTTGTAAGTGCATCTAGATGCATTTAAAAATATATATATATTTATAAATTAAAAAAAATTGAAAACTCATAAATTAAAAAAAAATTGAAAACTCAAAAAAAATATTTGGTTTGCAGTTTTGAAAAACAGCTTTTTGAGTTTTTCATCTGTATTTTTTTTATTTATTTCTAGTGAAATTTTTTAATATTATAATTACTATTTTTAGTGAATTTGGTCATGGTGGCAGTTATTCTACAACCTGGTGGATAAACTAAAATTGAAAAACCATTGAAGCAAAAACTTGAACTACATGTGGAAAGCCTTTTTTGGCTGGTGAAAGGTGACAATAAATAGCTTCTCTCTCTCTCTCTCTGATACCCAAAAACCAATAACATGCGATCACCCACCTTTCTCTCCCCTTGTGTGTCTCTCTCCCTTTCTAAATCCGCAAAAATTCCATCAATCCTCATCTTCTTCTTCTAGGGTGCGGAAACCTGTACAATCCCTTTGTTCTGACACCAGAACCACCACGCCCTTCTTTCCCAACAATACACACAAAAAGTGTGTGTGGTTGAAACCGGCTTGAACCATGGCCCGTGCCATGGTCCTCTTATGGGCCTGTTGTATGCTTTTCTTGGCCACGGCCAATGCTGATGGTAGTAATTTTGCCAAGGGTATAGGTGTGAACTGGGGATCCAGGTCTCTCTAGGAATCGTCCCCGCTCGAGCGTCGTGGTTCAGTTGTGCTCAAGGACGGATCGGTAAGGTGAAGCTTTTCGACTCTGATGACTGGACTGTCAAAGCCTTTGCTGGGTCTGGGATCGAGGTTATGCTTGGGATTCCTAATAATGAACTCAAAAGATTAAGCGATAGCTATGACGATGCTCAGGATTGGGTTAAAGAGAATGTCACCGCACATACACGCGATGGTGGTGTCGATATCAAGTATGCCAACTTTCCTTGCTCCATTCATATACATTCTATTCTCAATCAAATGAAGGTTTTTTCTTTGCATTTTTTTATTTTTACAATCAAAATATGTTGTGTGCTTGCTTCCAATTTTACGTTCTGGCAGCACTGCATGTGGTTTTTTTATGAATTATTTCTACGTTCGTTTATCAATTGGAAAATAACTCCTCTCCATATCGCTATTTTCCTTTTTGATATTCCCTCACACTTCATTTTGTGAGTCCTATTTTGGATCCATGAAAATGATCTTGTGTTTAGTTATATCCAATGAAACTTATTTTTTAAACAACTCATCTTTATTATTTTGAATCATCAAAATGAGACCCACTAAATAGAATACAGTAGAATATGAAGGGATGTCATTCCCTATTGTTCAACACAAATATATATATATATATATTTTATGTGTTTGTATTTAGTTTTAGGATCCAAATTTGTTTGTGTTGAACAAATTGTGCTTCTTTTACAGGTATGTGGCAGTTGGCAATGAACCATTCTTGACGAGCTACAATGGTACAAACACACACACTCTTCTCCCAGCAATGAAAAACATCCAGAAAGCTCTTGACGAGGCTGGCCATGGGGACAAAATCAAAGTAACCACCCCCCAGAATGCTGACGTGTACGACTCGGGGAAGGGAGGTCCATCGGAGGGAAATTTCCGAAAAGACGTAAGGAATATCATGATCGATTTGGTACGGTGGTTGGACTCCGTAAACTCCGCATTTCTGGTGAACATATACCCGTTCCTTAGCCTCTACGAAAACGCGGGTTTCCCTATCGACTTTGCCTTCTTTGATGGCGGTGCCAAACCGGTTAAGGACAAAGATCACAGCTACGACAACATGTTTGATGCAAACCTTGACACACTTGTTTGGTCACTGAAAAAGGCCGGGGTGCCAGACTTGAAGATAATAGTCGGGGAGGCTGGTTGGCCAACCGATGGCAACATCAATGCTAACAATAAACTTGCTCGGAGGTTCTACAATGGCTTCCTCAAGAAATTGGCAACAGACAAGGGAACCCCTCTTCGTCCCGGACACATGGAAGTCTATCTTTTCAGCTTACTCGATGAGAACATGAAGAGCATTGCTCCGGGAGCTTTCGAGCGCCACTGGGGGATTTTCAGGTATGATGGGAAGCCCAAGTTCCCGGTAGACTTCAGTGGGAAAGGGGATGATGACAAGTTTCCGGTGGCAGCCAAGGGTGTGAAGTACGTAACATCATTTTATTGTGTATTCAACAAGGATGTGAAGAATATGAGCTTGGTGCCACCAAACATGTCGTATGCATGCGCCTTGTCAGATTGCACGGCCTTGGGAGATGGATCATCTTGCAGTAAGTTGGATAACATAACCACCATTTCCTATGCTTTCAATATGTATTTTCAAATGAATGGTCAGGATGTGGAGGCTTGTGTGTTCAATGGATTGGCCACCATTACTAGCACTAACTTGTCTACTGATTCTTGCCTCTTCCCACTTGCATTACAAAGTGCTGGGACCAGACTCAACATTCTGTCTTCCATCACTGCTACTACTACTAGTGTTGCTGCATTTTTGTTCACCTTGTTCGCCTTGTTTTAGGAGGAGAAGAACACCCTCAGATGAAGAAGGAATTAATACTCTTATTTGTTTTTACTAAAATGATGTAACAATATTATTTTTGTAATTAACACTTTTATATCTTCTTCATAAGTGCTATTTGGTTCTACATTGAGACACATCAATCATTCAAATTCTGTACGAATTTTTTTATTTTTTTATTTCATTTATATCATTAACCTTATGGATTTTCTATTTGTAAATCATTAGTACGAAATAATTGAGGACCAGCACAGTAATGTTTGAACAATTATTTACAAATACCGTTATCGTATAACATGTCAATAGATTACCCTTATATTTCATATTTGACATATATGAAAGCAACAAATGTTATCTATATGTGGGGATATATTTTCTGAGTACCAACACGTGACAAAGTGACGCCGACGTGTCAGCCGAGGTGCCACGTGTCTTGGTCGTTGTGCCGAGGTCATCTCGGCTAGGCCGAGGTTGCCTCCGAAGATGTCGGAATCCGAGATAAGCGGATAAGGGACAAGAGTCCTAGAATGGACAGGGAACTCAACTTGGATATGGACAAGAGTCCTAGATTGGGAGAAGACTTCAGCTGGGTAAAAATAAGACTCTTAGAGAGTTTATCCTAATCCCACTGGGAGTCCCAGATTAGCAGTAATCCTAAGTCCATTAGGGCCAGGCTCCTTTTGGGACTAGGATTGTATTGGCTATAAAAGAGAGGCACCCCCATGGGTCTAAGGTATGTTTTTATACTCAAGCTTGTGAGTTGAATACTTGATTATCTTTGAGAGATATACTGACTTGATCGTCGGAGTGCCTCCGGGTGGAAGAGCCACCGCCAGAGCCTTTTCTTTCTATTACAGGTTTGCTGAAGCCATCTATTCTGCCGGTGCTCTCCAGCTGATTACTAGGCGGGCAGTGTGGTCAAAAAATCACTCACACAAGGAGCATCATAAATTGTCACCATTTTGTATGTTAAATTTGTATAAATATTGTAGGACTAGACATAAAGTTATTCGACCTGTGAAAACCACTCAATCCGAACCATCCGTGCTTATTTGAGCAGTTTCACAAATTGTTAGAGTCATATACGGTTTAGGATTTTCTTATTTTGCGAGTTGCGGGCAGGTTGCGGTGCACTCAACCACCCCCATCTGTATTTAATTATTATTTTTATTTTTTTTTAAAAAAATCTGGGTCATTAGATTTTCTTGTAAGTTTTGTAAGTGTGTAACCATAATATTCTCTTCTCTCACTCACTTTAATCTGATTATCAAACCTACAACCTCTAATATTATAATAATATCACACGCGTATTCAACTTGGAATTGAAAATACAATGCAGTTAGTATGATGCGTCGAGCCCGGTGCATGCAAGACAGATGAAATGAATGCAAACATGCGATCATACTGTATGCTAATTGAAACATGCCCTAATCTAACCATCATAAGCGGGTAAATAAAAGGGAGAAAGACGTGAGGTTGGAAGACATACATCACACACACGCACACTTATTACAGTTGTGCCCTCGCGTAGAGGGTCCGAATAAATAATATAAAATTCCGAATGAATAATTACAGTCCAAATATGTACAAAATCCTAATTAATTAACAAATTAAATTAGGAAAGTAATAAATTGGCATGCAAGCCAGGGACTGCCTCAAATCTGCCCCGGATGATGAATGATGCATGCTCCGGTTGCCTTTGTCGAAAAATCCCTTGTGATGCCCCGGTTTGCCTCTGTTTGCAATTGTTCTTGGAATGCGTGCCAAGCTCCGAAAGGCTGCTGATTTCTGATTTGCTGCAACAGAGAGTAACAAAGGGGCATGGCAAAGTATTTTCACATATGTATGCATGCCTACTCTTTAGAGAGTGTAGTCCTCGATCCTCATGCCACCAATCACGCATCTCGATGCAGATGGCCGAGAAGTCGAATTGCACGACTCGATATGAAATGAATGCACATATAAACACAACAAGACCTAAACTCCATCATGGATAATCCGGAGTGTCGGTGACTGGGAATTGAGACACGTTCCGTCACTCGAAGTACGAAACGTCTCTCGTTTCTCGTGCTCGGGCTAACTCCTATCCCAAGCACAATGCAATATGCATGACATGCATGAATGCAACAACCTAGCATGCACAATGCTATGAGATGGCATACACAATGCACGATGTAACAAGGCATACACAATGCTCTAACATACAACCTAGCATACGTAGTGCTATGAATCGAAATGGCATACACAATGCATAATGGACTTACACCAACATGAGTGGACCTCAACCATACTCACATCAGCAGCCATTAGATGAAAAATGAGACTCTCGAAATACGTGCACGCATGCACGCAAACCGAGGACCGAACCTAAGGCATAGTATGCAACTCTAACAAGGCATGGCAAGGCATGAAATGTGGCACATAAGCATGTAATTCCAGCACTGAAATATGATACAAAGCAATCCCGAAACATGGAAACATGGCACCCGATGCATGGAATGAATCCCGAAATTCGAAACTAGGCACATTGAATGACTTACAGCTATACAAAGCATGCATTATTTGATCATGAAGCATGAAGACAAATGCAAGAAAGTCCCAAAAAATGCATATTTCCAGTTTATAACAAGTCTCAAAAATGAACACAAATAGGGCTAATCTATCATGCAAAAATGACCCTAAAAGAGAGATTATACACAAAGGGACAGCAGATGACCCTAAATGGCAAAGAGACCTTCAACAAAGTTGAAGAGGGGCCCAAAACAAGGCACTTTATAGTTTACATCAAGCCACAAAAATAAACAAAAATTAGGCCAAACTATCATGCAAGAAAAGGCCTAAAAGAGGGGTAAAGAGACAAGTGGTATCTGCTGTTCTCAAAAAGAAGAGAGCCCTTCAACAATGTTGAAGAGGGGCTCAAAACAAGATATTTCACAGTTTATGGAAAAGTCCAAAACAGCTCACAAATAAGCCTAAAATACTATGCAAAAATTGGCCTAAAAGAGAGTTAAAGAGGTAAGTGATAGTAGGAGACCTCAAACAGAGGAGAGCCCTTCAACAATGTTGAAGAGGGGCTCAAAAAAAGTTATTTTACAGTTTATTACCAAGCCCAAAACAATTCCCAAATAAGCCTAAAATACTATGCAAAAATTGGCCTAAAAGAGAGATAAAGAGGCAAGTGGTAGTAGGAGGCCTCAAACAGTAGGAGGTCCTTGATCACACATGAAAAGGAGCTCAAAATATGACTATTTACAGTTTGGGTCGGAGCCCAAAAAAGCTTTCAAGTATGACTTGTAAATGAACCAAGAAAAGGCTAGAAAAGGGAAGAAGAAGACTCACCCTTGTAGAGCAGCAACACAGCAGCTTTTGGACTAAGAAATGGTGCTCCTATCCTCTGAAAAACAGCCTCAAGTTGCTGGAATGGAGTGTGGAGGTCTTGTGTTATGTGTTGTAGTGTAAATGGTACAAGGCTTTTAGGGTTTAGAGGATTGAAGTAGAGAGAGAGTGAGAGTTGTAGGCAAAGGCTCAAAACCAATTTTGTAACCCTCCAAAATGCAATTGGAAGTGTTGGTTTTATAGAGGGAGGAGGGGAGGAAAAGGGTGGAAAATGAATTCAAATTTCCCCCCAAAAGGGAAGACCTTCGGACAGTGGGTCAAATGCAGAATAGCTGGCACAGCTGGAACACACTCAGGAGGGCAAAAATGGCCGACCAGATCAAAAGGGCCAAAGTGGTCGGCCGGCTAGGCAGGGTGGCCGGCCAACCAGGTCAAAAGGGTCAAGGTGGCCTGCCACCCCCTAGGATGAAGCCCCAGAAGTTAGCTTTCCAATGCCGCAAACCTTGCATCAAAATTCCTCCTGTGCAAAAAGTTATGCCTGTTTTGGTGAAGCCGTGCAGATTCGATCCAAACGGACTTTAACCAACCATATCTCCCCCACTCGAACTTGTCCTTAGGAGATTCTTGAGTGAAAAATGAATCCCCGGAAGTAAGTTTTCCAATGGTGGTAACCTCATATCTTAAATCCAAGTATGCAAAGAGTTATGCTCGTTTCGGTGAAGCCGCGCAGTATTTTCCTCCTTCCCGGATTCATGCTGAATCACTTTTGACCAAAAAAAAGCTGGTTTTTCAGAAAAATTCCTGGCCTCCCACTCTCCTACAACCTTTCTAACAACGAAAATAAGGTCTCCACCAAAAATGAACCCAAACCGATGCAAAACGAAGGTTCGGGGGGCCAAAACACGCGGTCCGGGGGCCCGAAAACTGACTGTTAAGCACCGGAGGTGGCGTTTGACCACGAAGTTGGTCTCTCGGACCCCAGTGTCCCTCAAAAGGGAGGAAATAAGATGTATGCCAAAATCCGGAGGAAACGGAGGTGGTTAAGCAGTCCCGAACCGAGGCACACGGTCGACGGCTCCGAAAAACTAGAAACCGGGCTCCAAACGGGAAAAATGGCCTACGACCGCGAAACGTAGCCTACGGCCACTGAGAGATGGTCTACGAGACCTCTCCCTCCCTTCGGGAAGAGAAAACAGAGAAAACAAAGCCTAGTTTGCAAACCGAGGCAAGGCACGAAAGAGTCCGAAAGTCCGGATGCAAGACTTGCAGCCGGGACTCTGAAACTTCTGAACAAGCGCAATATGCAATATCACCGAGCGTTCAATCAGTGACGTCTGAGTCTTAAGGTCGGTCAAAAATGGGGTGTCTACAGTTGCCCCTCTTTGACAGAACTCGGAAGTCATAAGTGACGAGAGTGAATGTCAAAGCCTAGAGACGACTCATTTTTGACAAGGCCGAAGACTTAGACAAGCAGGCAAGATAAACAGAGATGCGCCCGTAGGCGTGCCCGCAGGCAGGGGCAAAATGCAACCGACAATGCAAGAAGCCGAAGGTACTTCATGATCATGCAAATGCAGTAAGCTGTAATGAAGCACATATTCACAATAGATGCAACAATTTTAAGTAAGAATGCAAAGCAATAACCACATTTCATGCAGTTAAGAATACGGAGAATTATTTAATTCTCGCCACGTCTCACACGGAGAAAATACAATACCTGCGCAGTTCGTCTGGTCGTACCAGCCTCGAATGAACCGTACATGCAATATCATGCCTCATGTTGCTGGGGATCTCTCACTTCTTCTTGATTGAGCCACAGGTACTACTTTTCTCCCTGACTATGGTCGCAGCTTTCCCTATTCTCTAACAT